GGCCGCGCTGCCCGCCGCTGACCTTCGGCGCGGCGCGTCCCTGCGCGGCTCTGCCTCTTTCTGCCCGTGACTCTGAGGTCGCATTTCGCCGTGTGTCTCTCTGGGGCTGTCTCTCTCTCTCTCTCTCTCCCTGGTCTCTGTCTTCCGATGGGTCTCCGTCTCTGCCCGCTTCTGTGACTGTTTTCTATTCCTTCCTGTGTCTTTCTGTGGCTCCCTGTCACTCCCAGACTCTGTCTCCCTGACTCCGCTTCTCTGTCTCTGTCTCTGTCCCCCTTGTCTCTGACTCTNTCTCCTCTGTGCTCCTCCCCCCTCCCCCCCAGGCCTTTGTGCCCTGCCCCCTCTTTCCTCTCACCCCTACCCAAGGTAGCCTGCCCTGGTGCCCCTCGTGCCTCCCCATCCCTCTCACAGAGTCCAGGCCCGCCAAGGGAGGACAGTGCTCCCCAAGTCTTGAGGCTCAGACACCCTTCATGGATGGAGAGCGGCCTCGGGCCTGCTGGGGTGGGAAGGGGTGCTCCCCCACCCTCCGACCCTGCCTGCTGACCCTGCCTGTCTCTCCCGTAGGTACTTCCTGGACTCTACCTCGGAAACTTCATTGGTGAGCACTGCCCACTCTGCCCTGAGGCCATGGCACTCTGCCTGTCCCAGGCCCATGTCCATCATTCATGCTCTGGCCCACGCACCTTGGAGGCGCTCAGGAATGGGGCTGGGGGCAGGAAAGTGGTGCCAGGCTGGGAGGGGAATGGAGCCACATGGGCGGGGAAGTGTCTCCAGGGCCAAGGGCTGTGGACGCTGGAAGCTGGGCAAGTCTGCACCTGCTCTGAGCCTCAGCCTCTCTCTCAGCACAAGACCCACCACCTCTAAAAGCTCTTTCAGCCCTGAGGTTCTGGGTTGAGGTGTGCTTGGAGGTGTTGCTTCTAGCTGGAAAGCTGGGGATCCTTCCCCCCACAACCTCCTCCTCAGAGGAGAAGTCCTGGAGACTGGACTCTACCTCAGAAACTTCATTGGTCAGCACTGCCCACTCTGTCCCAAGGCCTTGGCACTCTGCCTGCCCTGGGCCTGTGTTAAGAGACAGGCTGGTTCAGGGCTTGTGGGACCCATGGTGAGAAAAGTCACTTCCATCTGCAGAGTCAGAGAAAGCTTCAGAGAGGGAGGGGCATCTGAACTGGGACAGGGCCTTCCCTGTCCACCCTGTCCCCCACTGGCCTAGGTGTTCCACTCTCATAAACCCTGATCCCTTTCTCCCTGGAGCTCCCTCAGCAGCTCATGCCACATTGATTTCTGAGTATTTGGCTAACTAAGGTCTGAATGCCATGAGGGCAGCCATTGACCCATACCTCTGTGCCCAGCCAAGACTGCACGTAGTGAGTACTCAGTAAATGTGCTGAATGAGGGCTTGGGCAAAGGGAGATAGAGGGGATGTGTGTTATTTGCTCTGATTGTAAAAGGTCTGTATACACTGGAAATCCAGCCCCTAGAGATGACCACTGATAGCAGTGTGGGGCATACCCCAGGGTCATTTTTCATCTCTTTCTCGATACAGATACTAGATTTAAAACAAAACTGGAAACCTATTCTGCATGTTGTTCTGTCACCTGTATTTCCCATTTAATAATATATTGTGGACATCCTTGCACATCAGCATATAAAGATCTGCGGAGTATTCCAGTCTGAATATATCATTTTTTATCTAGCTTCCTTTTGATGGACATTTAGTTTGTTCCCACTTTTAATTATTTCTGCTGTTTTTACTGTTATAAGCAGCACTGCAGAGAATATCGTCCTCTGCACACGAGACTTCGTGTGAGCAAACCCTTCTGTAGACAAGGTTCCTAGAAGTAGAATTACTGGGTCAAGGATATGCCAGGGAAGGGTGTTTGCGATGGAAAGGATAGCAGGGGGAAGGTGGGGGAGATGCTGGGCTGTTACCTGCGGGTGCCCCAGAGACAAGAATGAAGCCTAAGGGTGGGGGAGGACCTGTTATGCCAGGAGCAGGAGGTGGCAAAGGAGCTGGGAGCTGGCAGAGGGTGAGGTGAGGAGAGTTGGGCAAGGAATCTTGCCTCACTTGACCATCAGGAACACATAAGTCACACCTGCCAGGTTGGCTCAAGCTTCCTGTTTCTTTCAGATGCCAAAGACCTGGATCAGCTGGGCCAGAATAAGATCACACACATCATCTCCATTCATGAGTCACCCCAGCCTCTGCTGCAGGTACTCCTGACCCTCACCCCAGGGCTGCACAGGTTGGGGAGGGGGCTTTAGACCCCCTATAGCACCCGTTTATCATGTACCTACTATGTGCCAGGCCCTACACTGCCTTCCTGGCCCATGTATCCCATTTGGTTGAAAACTGGCCCGTTTTACATTAGCATCCAGCCCTATTTGATCCCTATTTGGCAACTGAGACCCAGAGAGGTAATTTGCCTAAACTCACACATCCCGGAAGCTAAGGAGCTAGAATTTGAACACAGGCCTTCTGGCCCCAGATGCCTCCACTGAACCATATAAAGGCCCGCTCATGGGCTTCCCATTGCCCAACTGAATAGATGACCCCAGATGGATGATCTGGGCTCTGTATCCTGCCACGTGACCTAGTGTTGTGACTTTGCCTCTCTGTGCCTCTGATCCTTCAGCCCTGTCTGCCCCCAGGGGGCTGCTGTGAGGAGGCAAAGGGGCTGTGGGATGATGAAGATGCCTTGCATACTTAAAGCATGGCTCCCACTGGAACACTGGGCAAAAGTGGGTGAGGGTGTTTTGACCCCAGAGGAGGAAAGCAGGAAATCCAGACCACATGTGCTAGAGTCAAGAGGCCTGAGTTCATATCTGCATGTATTCTCTCTGTAACCTCGGGTATAGGATATCACCTCTCTGAGCCTTAGTTGTCTGATCTGTAAAGAGAATTTATAAGAGTACTGACCTCACTGAATTGTTGAGAGACACATAATAGGTGCTTAACAAATTACAGCTGATATAATACAAAGTTAATTATACTCTTATCCAACAGAATCACTTCCTTCTTATCTGTTACAGTCTCTGTCATCCACTGGAGGGAAAGAACTGTGGGTGGGAAAGGGCTTTGGAGAGCTGAGATTCAGACCACATTCTGTCACAGATTTGCTGTGTGACCTTGGGCAGGACCTTTCCCCTCTCTGGGCTTTAGTTTCCCCATGTGCCTGATTTGATGATTTCTAAGAGCAACCTCCAATAATCTGTGATTCCCAGTGTCAAAGAAGAAATTTCCAGGTCAATGGAGTCTGATTTTGTTTTACGGTGCAGGCTTGTTTTGGAGTAATTGGAGTATGCAGTCACTAGATTGCATGGGGAAAGTTGTCAAATCATGAATATATTTACTAATGAAATGATTGCTTGCAAAATGAATCCCTGCTCCAACAGCCCTTTCCTCTTCCCACAAGCATCTTTCCCGCTCCATCCATCAGTGAATTTACCAGTTAGAGTTTAATTGTGCCCTGCAAATGCAAGGCCAAATGTGTTGCAAATGAAATTGCAAACCTTGCAAAAGATGCAGGATTGAGTGACTTTGGGGAAAGTGAGTTAGAGAAAGGCTGGACTCTCACATGAAGCCATTAACAAAAGAGGACCTAGCTAGGGTCCCTTAGCCACTGGCCATTGGTGGGCCAGACACCTGAAAAGAGCCATTTGAGTATCAAATGATTAAGAGAGATTCTTGAGAAAAGTGATGAGGTTCTTGGAATGTGGGCAAAAATCATCTTTATGATCTTGTGTGAAGGTGAAGCATGAAGTGAAGGAGTTGGAACAAGTTTGTTGGAAAAACTACTGACAATTTACTCCTTGTTTTAATAATTAGCACAAAATTTATAACCACAATTCATGAAGTGTAAACTTATTTTCATAATTTTTGTTTCTTTTCAAGAAAATAAAATCTGCGTTGCCCTTCTTACTATGTAATTTTGTAATCCTCATTTGGAGGGGAGTCACTTTAAGTGGTTATTTCCAGGCTATTAAATGAAAGGTCCCTGGATCCTTTTTATCAAGTTCTTAGAAGGTTCTAGAATCACAGATGGTCAGAGCTGGTGGGACCTCAGAGATGGTGTCTACCCTCTTTGAACAAAGAGGACAACCGTGGCCCAGAGAGGGGCAGGCACTGGTCTGAGGTCAGGAGGTCTTGGGGGCCCAGGCTGGGTAAGGGGGTGCAAGCAAGCCCCTCCCCACTGCCTGTGTGTGTTTTGTACTTTCAGGGAATAACCTACCTTCGCATCCCAGTGGCGGACAACCCTGAGGTACCCATGTAAGTTCCCCAGGATGGACTGACAGATGGACAGACAGCTGCCTTCTGTGATGGTGGGAGGGCAGATGGGAAGTGCTCTGGGGGAGAACAGAGAGAACTCAGGCCAGAAAGCTGTCCTGGGACCTGAGCACAGATGGTCTCCCAGCCCCAAGTTTGACTGTCTCAGCCATGCCTTTGCCTGTGCCCCTGACCAATACTATTAACCTCCCAGAGCTGAGTCACTTCTGCTGTGAATTGGAGAAAGTACCCTGTCTCACAGGATCAGCCTCACCAGCGGATTTGAAAAGGTCAGGCTCAGCTGGTTCCTGGCCTTGGAATTAAGACACCTGGGTTTTGGCCAGGCTTTGCCATTTACTTGCTGTGTGACCTTGAACAAATCACTTCCCCTCTCTGAAAGGGAAAATGGGGGCACAATCAGCATCAAAGAGGCTTTCCAAGATCAAATAGTGTGGATTGAGGATCTAGGACAAGGCCTGGAGTGTAATGGGGCTCAGAACACGGGATTTTTGTTCATGGAAGCAGCAGTGCCTCCAGCCTGGGAGGGGTCCAGACAAGACATTACTGCCCCTCTGAAATCTTGCTGTCAACCCCATTGTATACTATCACTGTCCCCCGATGCTTTGATTGCAGACCCCAGAGGAGGGCGATCCCTGTGTCTTCTCCCACCCATTTCCTTGAAAAGTCAAAATACCATCCCCTCCTCCGTGAAAATAGGATCCACAGGACGCATTGGGGAGATTCTCCTGCCTCTGTATGGGGTCTGCCATGATTGGCCTCTCTCACCACCCCAAGGGCCACCATTATTGTTTCACACACATCTCCACCTCCTAAGATAGTATTGGCCCTGCCCACTGCGCATACTAGCTGGCCTAAGGACCCCCAGGCTCTTTGTCTCCTGCCATATCATAAATGGGGAGGGGGACAACTCTTAGGAGACATGCCCCCCCAGTGCTCCCTACCCTATTGCTTTCTTCTCTAGCAAAAAGCACTTCAAAGAATGTATCAGCTTCATCCACTGTTGCCGCCTCAATGGGGGGAACTGCCTTGTGCACTGGTGAGTTAAGACGGGAGTGGGGAGAAAGAAAGGAAGTGACTGTCCTCCATCCTGAACACACACACTCATCTTGTGGGGAAGGAGGAATGTGTGACAGAGCTTGTCCAGTTGTCACAATGGCTGACAATCCACCATTCATCTGATAGAGACTGAAGGGGCTCAAATCAGGGCTCTGTCCTTTACTAGCTGTGAGGCCATGGCCAAATAGCCGTGTCTCCCTGAGACTCAGTTTCCTCATCTGTAAAATGGGGAAAAGAATGCTGACAATGATGGACTATTGGGAGGGACAGGTGAGGTTATGCAGGTAGCCAAATACCCTCCAATAGTTCTGGCTCCCTCTCCTCCTCTCCAGGCCTTCAAGGCCATAGTAATGCAGGGCAGTGGAGAACCCTGGGCTGGGAGACAGGACCTCTGAGTCTTCCCAGGAGCCCCTGGTCTGGTAGATGTCACTCATTTCGTAACTTCTCACTGAGCACCTACCCTGTGCTGGAGCCCCAGCCACAGGAACAGCTCCCTTCAGCCTTGTCTCTCACCCTCTCTCCCTCCTTCCCCTGCTCCAAATGCACTGGCCATCTCCCTGTTCTTCAAATCCACCAGGCTCCCACCTCATGGTCTTCCTACACGCTGTCCAGAACATTCATTATTAATCGTTACCCCTCTTTCAAGACTCAGCTTGATGTCACTTCCTTGGGAACACCTTCCCTCACCCCCCCACTAGATTAATATCTCTTCCTATACCATCTCCTAGCCCCTGGACTCATCTTCAAAGTCATTATCACCACCTGAAATTGTTTCCCTCGTTAGTGTCTCTCTCCCCCAACCATACTACAAGTACCAGGATGACAGAGACCATCTCTGTTTTACTTCCCACTATATCTCCAGTACCTGAAAAATAACAGGCAATCAGGAGGTGTTTGTTGAATGAATGAATGAAATGTTGTTTCACTCAGGCTTTTAATGTGAGGGAATGCCTGGGGGATTCTCCAGGCAAAGGGAACAGAATGGGCAAAGGCCTGGAGCTGGGAAGATACATAGGTCCTGGTAGGTTCCTTGTGGTTGGAGCTCAGTAGGCAAGGGTGGGAGAGCTGAAGTGGGGATGGAATGTCTGGGGGGCACAGAGGATGTTGGCCCTTACCTGAATCTTGGGGGTTGGGTACCAGCTTTGCAGGCATCTCTCGAAGCACCACCATCGTGACAGCATATGTGATGACTGTGACGGGACTAGGCTGGCAGGAAGTGCTTGAAGCCATCAAGTCTACCCGGCCCATTGCCAACCCCAACCCAGGCTTTAGGCAGCAGCTTGAAGAGTTTGGCTGGGGCAGTTCCGGGAAGGTAGGGACTGGG